AGTAACCGGACTTTACTCACACCACCCTGCCTTTATACCCCTATTCGTCGGTTCTCGTCGTTCTTTTTTCATTGTTCTTTGCCCATTGTCTGTTGCTCTTTGCTGGCGCTCGCTTATAAACCGACAACCACACTCTGGCGTCATTCGCTGACTGCTCGTCTGATCACCTCGAATGTACGTCCACTTTTCAATTTATTCCCCATCTTCTGCTCCGCTAATTTTCCCGTTTATTGCTACAGAACCACAAAGAATAACCGAGTTATCTTGACTGTCTTCTGACATAGCTTTGACCTCGGGTGCGTCTATTCCGGTGAATAAACCAGCACTGGATCGAGAAAAATCTAAAGAATACCAACAAGACCCTTGACCATTTTTGAGACCTTACCATGAGAAGTAGAAGTGCTGCCTCATGCAGCATAATCTCAAGATGTCTCAGTCACGTCATGATGCCAGCTCTCGAACGAGCTTTTTTCCGTCCGAATGCAAAAACTGCACTCTGTGAAAAATGGCTGCTTAAGTAGCGGAATTTTTATCACTGATTTCCGATGTCCTTATGAATTTAAATATATTTTATAAAAAGCATGAAAATATTTTTCTAGCACTCATTTGGTAGGAAATAATGTCTTCGGATTTTATGTCTGAGGAAAGGGCATTTTTCAGTTATGGGAAAGTTTCTACACACAAGGTTGAGACCGCGAAATGTCCTGCCTGTCCATTTATTAACGCAGGTTATTAAGCATACACGATAGTCCACAGTAATTATGAAATGTTATGAGGTCTTCTTAACAACAGAGAAAAATGTATGATTTCACCTACACGGAAAACATTCACCTTGTACACTGGAAACCCTAAATGCAGGTGTAAAGGCAGGTCAGGTCCAAAATTATTCGGGGATCGGAATTTTTTTTAAACCAAAAGATATCTCTTATTAAAGCACAAAATTTACGGAGGTAATTTATTGCCAAACGAATACAAGGATGAATATTTTTGTGCATGCTTTCCATAAAATATATTTGAATTTACTGAGGCATCGAAAATCAATAGAAAAATCCATGCTGCCTAATTAGTCACCTTTTGTAGCGCAGTTTTAGTTCGTTCAAAAGCCGGCATCCCGACGTGACTGAAATATCTTGGGATAATGTTGCCCGACAATTAATATTCCAACTTTACTTAAGTAACCTTTTTCGGAACAAAACACTACAATTTCGGCTAACATTTCATGAGATAGGACATCTACTGTAATTACTGCAGAGATTAAAAAGTGCACTTCTTATTTACGGCGATATCTTGTTTCGTTCGTCATGGCCGAGGAGCGTCACAACTTGAGCGTGATTGAATCTACAACGAGGAAGACGATTGCAATATTAACCCTACTCTCACACACACCACTTTTGTCGCTTCCCTGTGACGACTGGGAATGAGGTCGGATCAAGCAGGCGGTCAGGAATTTCGTCAGGCTTCCAAGACATGACCTTTATTGCATCACGATAATCTAAATGCGCGTCAGATTTTTTATAGTGAGAAAACGGCATTTCAACAGCAGTGTTTGCGCCAGACAGGTTGCATTCTAGTCAGCTGGAAATCCCTCACAGGTGGCTG